CACGATGTTTTGTCTTGTGTAACCATTAGCCAATCAGCAACCAAGGTAACCCCCCCCTTATCACCTGAATCTCCTCCTAGAGCACCATTGTGTTCTTTGTAACCAAGTCTCTCTCAGAGGGTCGTGGGGAGGGGCTCCTTATTTTCATCTAAAGTAACAGAGAGAGAATCAGGGCTTAAACAGAGGGGGTTATGGGTAATGCTGAAATGATCTGTTTGGTGTTTCAGCCAATCAGAGACAGGCTCTGGATATATCTGAGACCTGGGATATATTGATGAAACACAGTATGACAGGGAACCTTTAAATAATTTGTTTTTAGACAAAAGTGTTCGGGGGGTTAGCGTTTGAGCTCCAGGCGACTTTCTTCCCCTTCGCCTCCCGACCAAACGCATCGTAAACCGAGTCCTTGGCGCCCGCCTTGTTCTGGACGGGGATCTCCACGACCCCGATGTAGTTCTTTTTGGCGACTCGAGAGCTGGCGGTGATGGTGTAGGCGTTGCTGCGGTAGCACTTCATGGAGGACATGCAGAAGGTCTCCCTCATGCCCCTCCTGAAGTTGGCGTTGTAGACGGAGTACAGCGTGGGTTTGGAGGCCGTGGAGCTGAAGGAGATCCAGGCGATGGCGGTGAAGAAGAGCAAACCCTGACGACTGTTCGACTCCTTCGGGTGCCACAGCTGGGCGATGTAGAAAGGCGTCCAGGTGAGGAAGAACACCGAGTTCAGCATCAGGAACATCTTGATGGTCTTCACTTTAGTCCGCGGCACAATGTTCATCGTGCGTCGAACCGTGTGTCCGTCGGCGCTGATTCTCCAGATGTAGCGTACCACTCGTTGGTAGAAAGACACGATGAGCACCGCGGGAACAAGGAAACCGAACAGAAGGTGAATGGAGGCGTAGGACAATCCGCCCCAGCTGTCCGGGAGGAAGAAGAAGTCACAGTGTTGGCTGTCGGTGGATCCGTAGAAGAAGAAGCAAGGCGACACGAAGGCGGCGTCGAACAGCCACGACGCCGCGATCATCTTCTTGGCTTTCTCCCGCGACACCTTGAAGCTCAGCGGGTACAGGATGGTGTAGAACCGGTCCACGGAGATGCTCAGCAGGACGTACACCTGCACGCCGGGGCACAGGTGCTGCAGGTATCGAACCGCCTTACACGCAGCGGCGCTCAGCGGCCATCGACCCGACGCCACCTGTAATTCAATTAAATCAAATGTATTTAATCAGCCCAGTATCACAAAACACACGTGTCTCAGAGGGCTTCACGAAACAACAAACATATCTGAGACAATAGTACAATTACAAGATAAATGTCTCCCCCCCCACTGCACTTCAACCCC